CAATAACAAATGCAATTAAATTAGCTAGTATTCAGGTGAAACTACATATTATAATTATTACTTAATATGTAACTAGCTAGCTACATCTCTTCATGTTTTAGGCAGACCCAGACTGAGGCAGACCCAGACTGAGGATGCTTCCAGACAGCACCAAAATCCACATTTTAGAACTGAGTAAAAAAACCTCATGTGACCTGACAGCAGGTTCACACAGAGACCTGCCAGTCCTGGGAAATGACTCCCCACCATCCTCGCAGCCTTCTTTTGAAGCAGATCAAGATGGAGGGAAGATTTTTTATATATAAAAATATCCCTCTGTTAAATGCTGGACCACACACCAATATGTTAATATAAACAGAAGTAGAATAACAGGTGTGCATATGAGGTCCAACACATATTGGAGGAATTAAAAAAAATCAGTTAGATCTCTCTCTTCCCTCATTCTTTAATTCAACCTCAGTTTAAGATAATAAAGTGTAAAATAAAGAGTTTCAGAGAATTCTAATTGCTCCCTGTTTGTTCTTCCTTTGGACTTCATTTGTGTCCGATCAGCTGATCAGCTGTTTCAGGCGTTTAAAAAGTGCACATGTGCCGGAGCAGTCCACACAGAGGGAAGGAAATGAAAACACGTGTTTTGCATGATTGCAGGGATATAGTCATGCAAAGGTGAGCTTTTTTTCAGGCTGAATAGGAATATAAGCACACTTTTAAAATATGTGCTTTTAAGCTCTTAAGCCAATCCCTCCTGCACTTTGGCCAAATGTTGTTAAGCCACCCCAACCCCTTTAAATCCAGTTAAAGTTACTTCTGGGTTTTACAGCATGTGTAGAAGGGCCCTGAGGCTACTATTCTGCCCCTCCTGAAACTTTTGCATGCTAGCTAAAGGAAGGATGGATTTCTTTTGGGATTTCCTTCCTGTCCCAAACTACCTTATGTGGAAAAGATAGAAGAAGCGCATGGGACTGGAAAGACCCAAAATTATCCTCCCCTGATGTGTTGAGTCATCATTTGTTTTGGAGACATGACCGAAAAGAAGAGCAACTTGGAGGTTCAATTATTAAATCTGAAATAACACAGGACTTCTTAAAGCCAGGCATGTAGTGGGGGGGGGGGGCTTGAGGGGCTTCAGCCCCCCCCCCCCATTCTCATGGTGGTCTGCTGGCACATTATTTAAACTGTTATGTTTGTTCATATCATGATCTGATCACCATGCTCAATATATCCCATATGCTTGGGACTATTGGGGTAACGATACAAAAGGTTTGCTAGGGTAGACCCTCTTTCACTCAGACTCAGCCCCCCTCCCCAAATCAAACTCAGCCCCCCCCCCAATCAAAATCCTGGCTACGGGCCTGTCCTATGCCATCAACTCTGCTGGACTGTGTTCTGGCAGATCTGGTACATTTGTCTGGTAGTAAATTTTAAATAAGCTGAGTTTCAACCTAGTGCTGGAGGTGTGCATTTTTTTTAGGTGTTTACAGTTGGACAGTTAGAAGTGGAATTGTCAGCCTTCTCACCTCCACGGCAGCACTTTGAAAATACTACATTGAGAGCTCTGAATCCTACAGAGGCAGGTGAAGTCTGATGTAACCGGAGATAAAATCTCCAAGGATCAAGCAGAAGACATTGTTTGTGAGCAGAACCCTTTGGTCCATAGCATATGGATTCCAGATCTAATCTATTGCAATCAATATAATATATAGACCATATATATATTCTCACTATTCAGTACATTAGAAATATAGGCCAGTTCTATCTATGATTAGCTACTCTCCTGGTTTGACCACTCCCACAAGCCACATAAAAATATCATTGACATATAATCTAATTGCAGTCTGAATGGTCTTGGGATTGGATGGGAGACCATTATAGCTATGTAGCTATGTGTACAAAAAAACAGAATATCTCATGTAACCATCATATTTACCCAGACTGCCTCAGATTTGTGAAATATCTAGAAGGTTATAGATAAATACAACTGGCACACATCTAGAAAGAAGGGTTCTGCTGCTACATGACCATGGCAATACATGATTTATGGTAAGTTTGATCCCAGGTTCCAAAACTGGTACAAGAATATAATGTCATGTGTGATCCCAGAGTGATGCATAAGACTGGATAGGATCCTCTCAGCAAAAAGTTCAGAAAACCTATTTAAATATATACCTTATACTTTAATCAGATATTTTTGTCACAGAAACAAATCCCAAAACTTTTAAAGGCCTTGCTTAATTGATGCCACAGAAATCCTAAATCTCACTGTCATAACCCCTGTTATCAAAGAAGGAGAGAATTCAGATCTTGAATGAATTTCTGTCCAGAACTAATATTTAAATTAAGTTTTCACACTTCAAATACTGGAGGGAGGTTATGCAAACTCCCTTTTTAATTATGTTATGATAAAAGAAAAACCCTGCACAATTAATTTTATCTTCAGGGTGTGTGCATTAGGCACCTCATCTGCTGTATATCTTCATTTGCTATAATATCAGGATGTGATAAATGTATTGCTTAAGCAGGCTTCCAGTTCATCAATAAAGGTGTTAAGTAACATTTAGACCAACATCTATCCTTATGGCACCCCACTGGATAAATTCCCCAAACACAGAATACAGCCATTCATCAATATCATAATTTGATGACCTAGCACACCCGAATAAACAGGAGTTACTTATGTTCACAGCCAAAGGGTCTAGGTATATTATTTCAAGGGAAGCTGTGAGGAGCAGGTGGTACCACCTTCTTGGCCACTCCTATGCCATGTTTTAGAATCCCGAGCAACTAAGCCTCAGACAAAAGATCGGAACTGGGAGGAGAAATGTCATAGTTGAAAATAATTATCCTGTCCCTACTCTTTGCAACCACGATTATTCTTATTTTAAGGTGAATTATTCTTGAATGATCACCTTGTACAGTAATATAATTAATAACACAAAAATAGTTGTAAAACCAGCTTGATGCTTTTAATTTAGCTCCACACTTCTCATCTCTTAAAATGAAACTTCAGTCCATTCAGCGAAAATGATGCATGAGCACATACAACTCAATACAGTACTTTCTTATCCAATTTTACTAAAGGTAAATACCCTATGTATAAGGAGACCTACTTCTAGCCAAACATGTCCAGAATTATAACTTTACAGAGCAATCCCAAGTGTGAATCACATGTAAATCCTATTGTGTTCAGCAAGGTTTACTACTAGGGACTTCATCACACTAGAGTATCTATCCACTTGAAATCCTGTGGCTGCCTCTTGCAGAATTCTGGAGTTTGTAGTTTAGGCCCAAGCTTTTAACTGCTCAGCCAGGTAGGTCCTGGGCCTCACTAAACTACAAACCACAGAATTCTACAGGAGATATCCACTAGATTTAAAGTGGATGACTGCTCTAGTGTGATGAAGTCCAGTAAGTTGGTATAGGTATGTGATTGCTGTTTGAATCATATTTGACATTTTTATTCAAATAGAACATGGCCATATAGCCCCCCCCCCCCCAAAAAAAACCCCTACAACAACTCAGTGATTCTGGCCATGAAAGCCTTCAACAATGTATTTTTATTTAGTTCAGTGCTTTTCACACCCTCCTTTGCATTTTGTTTTGTCAACATTCATCCTACGGTTCTCAGGGCAAAGATTTTATTTCCAGTCATAATTAAATATTTTGTCCTGTCACTTTGTATGTAGTACATATCAGCAAGCTGCAGAACGGGAATATTTGGATACAAAGAATGTCAAACTAACCCAAGAAATGTGAGATGGTAGAGATACAGCTATATATTGGAATTAAGAAGCATCGAATTCAAAGGGAATTATTCCCAGTCAACTGTGCCAAACTCACACTCTCTAGGGGTTTGATACTGTCACAGCTATCAACCTCAGCTAGTATGGTCAATAGTCAGGGGTAATGGAAGAACAGACCAATGATCTAACTACTGAATTTTGATCTTTGTGTGGCTAGAACAGAGTTTGTACCCCTGCAACTTCCAAAAAATGATTTGCAAGGTCATTAAGCCTGACCTACCTCATCATCATTAACTAATAGGATGCACTCTAATGTAAAACCCATTTTATAAATGTGGTTAATATTTGTATTCTAGACATTCAAAGTTGACTTTTTCTTTTTCTCACCAAGAGTGCACAGTGTGTGAAAAAACAAAACAAAATCAAAATAACTCTCTAGTGCTGTGAAGTAAATAAGGAAAGAAGAAATAGCACTATGTTTGTCTTGAGGGTTCTTCTCACAAACAAATTGCAAATGACATTGAAGAGACACATTTATATACAATTATCTATACCCAAGAGCTAGCAGATGGAATAGATCACCTTTTCAAGTCCCTTATAATTATAGGATTTTTGATCCTGCACTTAACCAAGCAAGTTGGAATTAACTGTCATTAAGAGACAACACACACATGGAATGGTTAACCTTGAACAGGTGAAATAATATAGAATGAAGGCTATTTCTGTCCTGAAAATGATCTGGTAATATATTCTACTGTATTATACCAGCATTATTATTGGTCTCTCCCACACCTTCTCTCCTTCCCTCTCTCTGAGTGAAAGCTGCATAAAACACTTTTGGATGCTATCCAACACTAGACCATTTGAACGACTGTGTACCAGAATAAAGTAAGTTGTGTATGTGTTTGTCACCCTTTGAACCAAAACAGCATTTACATAGCCTTCGTCAACAGTATTTACATACTTTAAAAATTCTGCATCTACTACTACTGTTGTTTTTCATAAAACAGAATTCATTTTAAATATGATTATAAAATAAATGTTCCCATTTAAGGGGTTTTTTCTAAACTGTTGATGAAATTGACAACTCTAGATCTTTTGGTTAGTTTTATAAGTTCCTATTGAGATCATTTTATCCACTGTTTTTTATTTGATTTGTTGATTGTTTGTCTTGGCATTGAATATTTTTGACTTATTTGTTGGAAATTGCTCTGAGAGAGATAGGGCAAGTTACAAAGAAGGCATTATTATCTTTCTTACCTGTGAAACCAGCTGCACAGACACACTCAATTTGTGGCTGTAGCTTTGATGGGCTTACATCAACACATGTTGCTCCTGCATGGCAGTTGTCTGGATAAATTAAGCAGGCATCTTCAACAATCTGGCAAAATTCTCCTACCCAACCAGGAGCACAGAGACACTAGAAAAGAATTAAAAATAAACTAAGAAGTCTAGCTAAATTTTAGAATTGACAACACATGGCAAAGAAGGAGCATAAATGTTTTAATCTATGGACCCTACACAATCAATTAGTAAATATCACATATGTGCTTATGTTCAAAGATCTCAACAGAAAATTGCTGATACATGGTGATTGTAATAACTGGTAGCATTGTGACAATGAGTTGATAAATTTGGGGTGTAGTCATCCATCTGAACGTATTCATATAATAGTGTTCAACACAATTAATATCTCCTTTAAAGCTTAGACTAACAATTTCCCTTTGAAATGGAAATCATCAGCTACTGCTGCATAATGGCTAGTTTGTTAGGAATGGAATAGAGAAATGGCCTTGCTCCAATCTTTTAATTTATTGTTGAAGGCTTTCATGGATGGAATCACTGGGTTGTTGTGAGTTTTCCAGGCTGTATGGGCATGTTCCAGAAGCATTCTGTCCTAACTTTTCACCTGCATCTATGGCAGGCATCCTCAGAGGTTGTGACCTCACAACCTCTGAGGATGCCTTTCATAGATGTGGGCAAAATGTCAGGACAGAATGCTTCTGGAACATGGCCATATAACCTGGAAAACTCACAACAACCCAATATTATAATTGTTTGCAAAGTAATGGCATTTACTATTGACTAAATATGCTTAAGAATGGCATTGCTAGAGAAAGTACTTAAATGAAAATGGAACTCTTGCACTGTGATATCAATGTACATACAACGAACCTGATTTGTAAAACTGCATTTACCTTTTTTATATAAAAATCATTTGTAAGCAAGCGGTTAATACAAATTTCTATCATGCCATATGAAAACTCTACCATGACTCTGTATAAAAACCGAGATTTTCCTCTTAGCATACAACAGCATCTGTGAATGTTCTTCTTTCTCTATTTGATTCTTCCTACTTACCCTTTGACACTGCCCTTTCCTTCATTTTGAGAGGAAGCAAGAATTATCAAGCACCAGGTCACTTTGAAATACTTGATTGTGTCCTAGTTCCACATAGAGAAATATGAGATATTATTGTTTTAATTTCATAACACTGTCTTGTAATGAATGTCCTACATACTGATTCAAAGCTCTGTGCCCTATATTGTTCCATATTATGCACCTTTGTTCTCAATAGAGGAGTGTTCAGAGTAGAGATGCAGGAAAGAGGGAAGACAAAAAGCACAAAAAGTAATTGAAGGCACCTTCAGACAGCATCATAATCCAGGTCAAAGAAGTGGGCAAAAGAATCACGAGACCTGACAGCAAGTCCAAACACAGAGCTGTCAGTTCTGGTAAATCCTCCCCCGCTATCCTGACACCTTCAATTGTAGCAGATTTTAGAAATCCATAAGATGGGTAGGGACATCTGGCAGAAATTTACTATATATATTTTGTTTTAATTGATGCTCTGAGATGCGCTGGACCTTATATGCATTGATGCAGATATCTAAATGTGCATAAGAACAGAATTCTTATTATCTCTCCTCACCCTCCTGTAAATTCAAACATTAAATGGTTTCAGAGAGTTCTCATTGTAATTTCTTTCAAATAAAAATGGCTTCCACCCTCCTCTCTTTCAGGTAACTTCTGAAAACACACTTATGCACTTTAGCGTATGGAGTGGAGGAGGACTAGAACAATTAAATTAGCATTTTATGGATGCTGTGGTCTATTTTAAGTCACAACTAATGTCAGGCATTGTTTACATTTTAACTGTTGAATTGTCTAGGATATATATTTCTATGCATTATGTTTTAATATTGTAATTATGCTTTATTTGAGTATCTGTTTATTTTATTACTTTAACTTTTATTTTCTTTTGGTAACAAATTTATTAATGTCTATTTCATATTTTTGATGTTCTTTGATTCTAATTATGGCATTGAATGTTTGCCTTTTTATATGCATGTAAACCGCCCCGAGTCTCCTTGGGGAGAGAGGGCAGTATTGTATTATAATTTTTCTTCCATTAGCTACCTGTGTGTCCATGGCTCCATTTGTTTACAGTCCTGATTAGATATTTGGGGAATTTAAAATGAGACATGTGCTGGAGTAATCCACACCGGCATATAGAAATGAAGTCACATGTTTTCCTTGACTGAAGGATATACAGTAATCCTCTGTTCAGCTTGAATGTGCACATTTTTCAACTGAAATCGAGTTTCAAGCACACCTATCTAACACGTGTTTTTCAGCTGTTAATCTGAATTTTCTTACATATCATTTAGCACTACCACCCCCTTTTGTCCCAATGTTTACATACCAAAACCAGAAGGGATACAACTTAGTAAAAAGTTCAAGAACCTCTCAAAATAGAAAGTTCAAGTAATAAGTAAAGGGATTTTTTTTATGGGGTAGGTTGGAGGAACGATCTTTGGTCTGTGAATCAAAATTCTTACTTTCTCTCATTTACTCTTTCAATGGGCCATTCATTTGCTATGGGGCATTTATGTCTGTTCCATGGTAAACTGGAATGTATTCCCCGTATGGACAAATAAACTGAGATTAGAGTGCTACTTCTAAAATACAGCTTTCATTACCACCACCCTAGTTTGCTTGTTTGTTGTGTTTTTCATCATGCTCTAGGTTTTATTACCAATTTTCTTTCCTCTAACAGGTTCACAGTGAACCAACTTGCATCCCATCTCTTCTCCCTAGGAGAAAGAAACTCTCAGTCTGTGACTGACTATTGATTTTTCCTCATGATTATTATTATCATGGCTTTGGGAACTTTGTATATCTGTTATTTACTTTGTCCCCTTTGTGTCAGCTTCTATATTGGTGATCATCTTTCTTAATTACCTGGAAGCAGGATTTAACAACATACTAATTGCATTCTGCAATTATCAAGTCAAGGAATAGCAAGCCTCACTTTGGATGAGAAGAAACAAGAGAAGCTTGGAAAGAAAAAAAAAGTCTATCAGAGACTTCTTATTTCAAATAAAGTAGTGCAAAGGGTAATGTGTATTTCAAACAAGATGGTCTTCCAGCTAATTCAATTTTTCAATGTCAACTAAGGTCAAATATATTTTGGAACAGTTACTGAGTGAGAGCTATGATTTGTTCTATTCATTCATTCATTCATTCATTCACTTATATGCTATTTTCTCCCAGAGTAGGAGACAAGGTGGCCTCCATAAATAATAATAAAGTAAAAAGATTTACCATACAATTAAAAAATTAATAATTTCATAATAGATTTTAAAATAAAGCATACAAATTTAGAAAGATAAAACACATTCAATAAAAAGCTTATACATTAAAAGCTCACTTAAATAAAAATGCATTTGGTTACTGGTGATAGGATGAATGGCCCCATTTATGGAATTCCCATTCAGTAACATTTCAGATGATACCATTTGTCTTTCTTTTTTTGTTTATCATTTTGTTTATCAAGATTTTTCATTTATGTTTATTTTATGTTGGCTTTTTAAACAATGAGACAGTGCTGTTTTTGTATTTTATCATTATTTTTATATTATAATGTGAGAACTAGGACTAATAAAGGATTGCACTGGATTATATTAGATCAGATTAAACTAGGTTAGATTAGATGAGTAGATATGGTGGAAGATACATTGGAAATTGGCTCTCATTGCATTTCTATGGGGGGGGGGGAATGAACAGATAGAAATCTTAATTTTGTGAAAAGTAGAAATAACCCCAGATGGCATTCCCCCAGAGCACAGGCAAGCATAGCTCAGTGCTCTTTCTGACACCGCTGTTTTGTCAGACATGTATCTTAAGAACTTCTTCTCAAGAAAAATGTGTGGCATGACATAGGAAAAGTTGCACATATTTATTTGATATGTCTTTGGCAAAATTCCAAGAGCCAGCAGTAAAGACATCTGTCTTCACTCAGCAAAGGACACTCATTTGACTCCTCTGACATCCACATAAAATTTGTCATAAAATCTGAGTGCTTTTTCTTTATTTTATTTAAGTTTGGTAATGTGGTATCCAGGCCCGTAGCCAGGATTTCGTTTTGGGGGGGGGGGGTGAATTTTTTTCAGGGTTCGGGGGGTCTGAGTTTCGGGGGGGTGAGTCTGAGTGAAAGAGGGTCTAGCCTAGCAAACCTTTTGTATCATTACCCCAATACCCCCATGCATATGGGATATATTGAGTATGGTGATCAGATCATGATATGGATAAACATAACAGTTTAAATAATGCACCGGTAACGCCTTTTCACGAACCACCTTGAGAATTTTGGGGGGGCTGAAGCCCCTCAAGCCCCCCCCCCCCCCGGCTACATGCCTCGTGGTATCAGACAATGGACCTCCGAGAACTCTTTCTTAATTAAATCCCACTGGAAATTCGGACCAAAGGGAGGCAGATTTGAATGTGGTAGTTTTGCAGAGGTGTTATGAAGAGGCCAATGAGAAGGAAGCGAAAAACTCCTCAATCAAAGAGTGGTATGGTAAAACAATAAAAGCGGTAGCATACATGTAGTTGAGAGACAGAAGAAACGTATTCTTTAAAGTTTTAAATTAATTGCTTCCATTAATGTGATAGAGAACTAGTGTGGTTCAGTGGTTTGAATGTTTAACTAGGATTCTGGAGACTGGGGTTTGAATCCCTATCTGGCCATGAAAACCCAGCTTGTTTCTAGGAAGCCTAATCCATTTTTATTCTGGCAGGCTTTTAAAGCAGAAAGTTTTTTAAAAAGAGCCAGGGAGTACTGTTCAGTGTTTGAATTGTTTTGAACAAGGAGGAGGAGAAATGGATAGCAATATGTAATTCTATTTAAAAATGGTTTATTTTAATTGTACATTGTTTTAAGACATTGAATAATTGCCTACGTGTAAAGCCACCTTGAGTCTGCTCTGGGGTAGAGAAAGGCAGGGTAGAAGTGTCATAAATAATAATAAGAATATTAAGAATAAGAATAAAAATAATAAGAATATTACCATTACAACTTTAATTATTAGCTGCCATCTGTATCCATGCCCTGTCCATCCCATTAGCTCAATAGAC